CAGCCCGCCCGTTCTGCTTAGCCGGACCGTCCGGTCTGACGACGTGAGACTGAGAAAAATTGCGTCGCCTCTTCTCCATGCTGAGTCACCGCCGGAATTCCAAGGTTTCACCGGCGTTTGACACCTCCTGCTTGATCCAGGAACAGCCCAACCTCCTCTACACCCTGCTTCTTCTGGGACGCGAGAACTGCCCTAGGTCCGCCCATTCCGTCGTTCTTCGCCTCTCACTTCGCCCTCTCACTCCCCCACAAACTCTCTCAAAAGTCCGAAACTTCAACCTTCGATTGGAGTCCCGATTTCTGTCGAAATCAACAAATAACCACAGCAATCAACCCTACAGAACATCCCCAACGAAACCCCGAGCTCGAATTTGAGCTAAGTGAGTGTTTCGGATTATGCCCAAAAATGATAATCAAATTGAAAATGGAGATTTGATTGCTTTGAGTGGAAATTGCATGAAATTGGTGTTAGATTTGGATTCCTGATGTTCTAGGGATCATTTTTATGTATAACTTGTTGAGTTTGGTGCAAAAATTGGAAACCCGAAGTTCCTGGTGCGCCTAGACCGAACGTTCCAGGCATGGACCGTCCGTTCTAGGGTTCGCAGGGTTTCGGGGGAAGAAGACGAGTCCAGACCGTCCGCTCTGGACATGGACCGTCCGTTCTGTACCCAGAACGTCCGTTCCACCTTTCGCGGAACGTCCGTTCCATCTTCGGCCAGACCGAAGGGACCAAGCCACTAGACCGTCCGTTCCAGACGGGGCAGACCGTCCGTTCTGGACACCTGTCTCCCCGTTTTGGTTCGTTCTTTCGGACCGAACGAAATTCGATGCAACCGACCCCTATACGTGACCTACCTAGACCCGTTTCCTACCCGAACCTCATGAAACTTGAATGAAACCGACTTACGGTAAGTAAAACCTTCGGAACGAGCTGAATTGGTAATCCGGAATGGTCGGACCCAATTTGATCGGATCGGAGGATAAAAGGAATCAAATGAATGTAAAGGAAACGAGATAACCAAAATGACAAGTAAGAACGTGTGTATACCCGAATAGGTATAATAATATATGAATGCGTGTGATTGGGGAACCGGGTAATTGGCATGGCGTGAGACTCTATTCCGGAGGGTCGGGATAAGGTTAAGCGTGTGATTGTAGCGGGTTTGAGGTGATATTTCGATGGTTGTATTGTTGGGATCTCCTCTTTATGATCTCTGACCCGGGTCAGGTTTCATATTGAGGAGACATGATTGTGATTGGTTGCCCACGGGCAGAGCTTGGAGCCGATGATACACGTGATAGTCTTGAGTGATTCGGCTATCACGGGGTTGAGGAAATCCTACGGTTACACAGTAACCGCGCCAACGTTCCACTAGCTATGGAACGGGATCGGGATTGAGTGATTCTCCCGGCAGAGACTGGCAATACATTTACCCGTGACTCGGGATTGAGCGATTCTCCCGACGAGGTTATGCGAAGGAACTCAGAAAGACCTGAGCTCGGGTCCGATGAGTTTCTCCGTGGCGGACGGCCGGCGAGAGGTTGTCAGTTGTGTACTGACTTCGCTCGACATAGTCGGTGGTGGCCTGGAGAAGGCACCTGGTGCTCTGGCATCGAGAGGTGACATCGATGTCAGAGGGGATGGTTGATGTATTATGTTTTATGGAGTAGGGATTTGGATGGCGTGTTTTATTGTTCCGGCGATTGCCGAGGAGAGCGGGGGATGTGCGTTGCACATGGAGCGTCCTTACCCACGTGTGTGATGCACACGTGGAGATGATTTGACGGTACGGTTATTACTGAGAGACCCGATGGGTCGAGTTATGACTCGTGTACATATGTCCTGGACTGGTGAGACCAGATCCTTGCGGTATCCTATGTGTGCGATGCACATAGAGATGATTTGACGGTTAAGTCCGATGACTTGTCATTTGGACTGAGTGTGTGTGATAAGTGAATTACTTGTGCGATTGAGTGAATTGTGTTTCCTGGCATGAAGTGTGTATATATGTATACACTTATATCTAGTGTATGTATAATATTGATTGTGTTTGGCCATTTGCAATTTGAGTATGATCTTCGGGTCTAACCCGAAGTACTCACTAAGCACGTAGCTTATGGACGTTGTTATGCAACGTTTCAGACACGGAGCAGTATTGGCAGCAGCAGGACGAGGGTACTGGTGACGTGTGAGGAGCTATCTGGATCATGTACTTTTCTTTCTTTGGACTTATGTTGGCTTGTACGGGCGGTGACCTGACTTTGTATTTTTGTTGTCCATGTGGCGCAACTCGTGGTTTTCGCGGGACACGGGTTTCGGGTGTCACACTGTGCAGATTGGGAAATGTGGAGATTGAGTGGGCGCTTTGCGATTTGGGCGCAAGTGTCAGTTTGCTGCCTCTCTCCATATTTAAGAAACTTAATGTCGGTGAGCTGAAACCGACAAGGATGAC